TTATATCATAAATATAAGGTGTCAAAATTAGAATAGTTTATATTATTAATTGCAGAAAGACCATAAAAAAATGGAAATAAAGAACTTTTCTAGTCAAAATTTCATGATACATCATAATAAGCAAAAAAAATATTGCATAATTATATTGTCGATTAGTTTCCCAGCATGCAACGAACAATTCAATGCATCTAATAAAATTAACACAGTAACAATCACTTGGTTGTACACTTGTAGTCCCTATCACTACCAATATAATTTTTAGGGGTTGAATTTTTGTAGAACCTAGACCTAGTGAATTACACCATGTAGTTTTCAACCGTAGATCTACATATAATAACACACACGTCCATATGTATGTGCGCTTAGTGGATAGTTATTTATGTAGATGTACGGTTTAAAACTATATGGTGTATTTAACCGGGTGTAGAATCTCATAAACCTAGTCAACATTCAAAATAATTAATAACAAAATGTTGTACAGTTTCAAATGCTACTGGATTGGAGTATGGGAGTTGACTTAAGTTAGCTTTATAGACTTAACATATGACCATTTAAATGAAATGCTTAACTGTAAACACAAAACTAACTTTAGATTTGTGATGCACGAAATTTTTGTATTTTTAGAGATTATTTAAAAAGAAACACATAAAAATAAAAATATATGGAAAAAAAATATTTAATATAATTAATGAAAAATGTACACGATTCGAGATTTTCAAAGTTTCTTTAAATATTTTGTATATGACTTAGTGCAGTGATATTATTATTATGTCAACCAGGCCAGAAAACTTAAGAATACAAAAAAAAAATGAATTAAAAATATTCTTATTCATAAAACTGAAATGTAATTTTTGTAAACATATTAGATGTATGTCCAGAATAAAAGATACATAAATATATTGAAAACATGTTACCATTTGACTGAGATGCTTGGTTATACGCCACAACTTTGGAGTAATACATTGAGTGTATAACCCTAACACTTGCTAGTTGTGGGAACCTTACAAACTGCTGTCAGCTAGCTAGCATTCTTTAATCTTCATCAATCTTTTATAAAAAAACACAAACGCATGAAAAAAATATTTAGTATAGGTAGACATTAATGATGCAAATGACGAAATTAAATTAATTTTTACGTTTAGTTGTTAAGAAATTACAAATGAAACGATACACATCTTTTCTTTGAAGGAAACTCTCAATACATAAATAAAAGAATTTTCAGAAGAACATTGTTCATAAAGGATACAAATATTGGTTAAATTTCATGCGAATAAACATAACTAACTGGAAAAGTTTTGATTCCCTAAAATCTCTATCCCCCAAATTTTGATTTGCAAGCACTTAAATAGTTTAATCCACCAACAAATAATAATAGTGAAACAAATAAATCCTTAATGGAAAAAATACCGACAATTTCACATTAAAATTTAAATTCCAAGAGGGTATAAAATTAGATTTGGAGAGAGTTTAACAAACAATAAACTAAGAAAACAATACGTACCTTGTGGTCGATATTTTTCTTTACGTATGTAGGGATGTTATTGTACAGGTTTTTGTCTTTCAAAATGCTCTACTAAGAAGAAGAAAGAATGAAGAACATGATAATAGAATAAGAACAAAAAATAAACACTGAATAGAAGTGCAAAGGAGTGGTAATCGACAATAAAATGACATATTTTATATTTCAATAAACGGACATTTAGTAGTCGGACAGTTGGATAAAATGGAAAATAAATAAAATTTTTTATAGAATTACAGGTTTTGCCTTTAAAGTTTGATAAATTATTATCTACCATTGAAGTGGTTCTAGCTATCTATAAACTAAGGGCAAAGCTTAAGGGGGGAAATTAGAATATTATGTAGAATTTGGATTGTTGCCAGAAATCGCCCGTTGAACACGCCCGTTGAACAAATAATTGCTAAACGAACTGCAGACAATAATCAAAGTTGGAAGCATAATATTGCAACAGATAAAACAATATGAAGAACCAATAGTAGCTTCCTCGGCCTACCTAATTTTCACTGATTAAGCATAACAATATAAATTAAAAGGATTTCATTTAAAATTATCACATAATTCATCAACGAATCCAATACAACGAATTTAAGTAACAGTGTCCGTCGTAAAAAAGTAGAAGAAATTGAAGATTTTATCTCTGAACTTACTTTCAATATGACAAAAAGTGAGTAGGTTCATCAATCTCCTCGATTACACCTTGGAAGATTTATCCTTATATCCCAAAATTCCTGCATTCAATCAAACCTATAAAATTATATGATAAATTCCCTCAAAAGTG